GATCCCTTGGTTCCCGGTGTTCCTTTAGTTCCTGGGGTTCCCTTGGTTCCCGGTGTTCCCTTGGTTCCTGGAGTTCCTTTGGTTCCTGGTGTTGCTGGAGTTCCCGGTGTTGCTGGTGAACCCGGTGTACCTGGAGTTCCCGGTGTTCCTGGAGTTCCTTTGGTTCCTGGAGTTCCCGGTGTTGCTGGTGAACCCGGTGTTCCTGGAGTTCCTTTAGTTCCTGGGGTTCCCTTGGTTCCTGGAGTTCCTTTGGTTCCTGGTGTTGCTGGTGTTCCAGGTGTGGCTGGTGATCCCTTGGTTCCCGGTGTTCCTGGTGATCCCTTGGTTCCCGGTGTTCCTTTAGTTCCTGGGGTTCCCTTGGTTCCCGGTGTTCCCTTGGTTCCTGGAGTTCCTTTGGTTCCTGGTGTTGCTGGAGTTCCCGGTGTTGCTGGTGAACCCGGTGTTCCTGGAGTTCCCGGTGTTCCTGGAGTTCCTTTAGTTCCTGGGGTTCCCTTGGTTCCTGGAGTTCCTTTGGTTCCTGGTGTTGCTGGAGTTCCTGGTGTCGCTGGAGTTCCCGGTGTTCCCTTGGTTCCTGGTGTTGCTGGTGATCCCTTGGTTCCTGGAGTTCCCTTGGTTCCTGGTGTTCCCTTGGTTCCAGGAGTACCCTTGGTTCCTGGTGTTCCTTTAGATCCTGGTGTTCCCTTAGTTCCCGGTGTTCCCTTGGTTCCTGGAGTTCCCGGGGTTCCTGGTGTTGCTGGAGTTCCCTTAGTTCCCGGTGTTCCTTTAGTTCCTGGGGTTCCCTTGGTTCCCGGTGTTCCTTTGGTTCCTGGAGTTCCTTTGGTTCCTGGAGTTCCCGGTGTTGCTGGTGAACCCGGTGTTCCTGGAGTTCCTTTAGTTCCTGGGGTTCCCTTGGTTCCTGGAGTTCCCGGTGTTGCTGGTGAACCCGGTGTTCCTGGAGTTCCCGGAGTTCCTGGTGTTGCCGGAGTTCCCGGTGTTCCCTTGGTTCCTGGAGTTCCCGGGGTTCCTGGTGTTGCTGGTGTTCCCTTGGTTCCGGGTGTACCCTTGGTTCCCGGTGTTCCCTTGGTTCCTGGAGTTCCCTTGGTTCCTGGAGTTCCCTTGGTTCCCGGTGTTCCTTTAGTTCCTGGGGTTCCCTTTGTTCCCGGTGTTCCCTTGGTTCCTGGAGTTCCTTTGGTTCCTGGTGTTGCTGGAGTTCCCGGTGTTGCTGGTGAACCCGGTGTTCCTGGAGTTCCTTTAGTTCCTGGGGTTCCCTTGGTTCCTGGAGTTCCTTTCGTTCCTGGTGTTGCTGGAGTTCCCGGTGTTGCTGGTAAACCCGGTGTTGCTGGTGAACCCGGTGTTCCTGGAGTTCCCGGTGTTCCTGGAATTCCCGGTGTTGCTGGCGAACCCGGTGTTCCTGGAGTTCCTTTAGTTCCTGGGGTTCCCTTGGTTCCTGGAGTTCCTTTGGTTCCTGGTGTTGCTGGTGTTCCCGGTGTTCCTGGAGTTCCTTTAGTTCCTGGGGTTCCCTTGGTTCCTGGAGTTCCTTTGGTTCCTGGTGTTGCTGGTGTTCCAGGTGTGGCTGGTGATCCCTTGGTTCCCGGTGTTCCTGGTGATCCCTTGGTTCCCGGTGTTCCTTTAGTTCCTGGGGTTCCCTTGGTTCCCGGTGTTCCCTTGATTCCTGGAGTTCCT